TTTTTTTTTTTTTTTTTTTTTTTTCTTTCACGGGGGCATTTCAACCCGTTTTACAAGCCTCGCAGTACTCCAGTGAAGTGTGGTTTCAAAGCCTCGCAGTACTCCAGTGAAGTGTTAAGAGCACGCCAGAGCCCGAGAAAAACTGCGTCGGGAGGAGATAACTTTCCGCAGGTCAGGCAGCGAGCCGCCCGCTCGGTGCCGCTGGATCCCGGCTGAGGTGGCAGCTGCAGTCCCCGTCGCCACCACCTTTGCACGGATGTGGTCAAGATGTGCTTCCCTATTGTCACTGAACAGAATGGATTATTTTTTTTAGATTTTGACTTGGAGGCTGTGCTAGAGATGTGAAAGAAGGAACGCTGTCTTCCGTTATGTGTCTTTGAAAGGCCTGTTGTAGGTGGTGGAAAGCTCTCTTTTACTTCATTAAACTGTCAAAAAGTTTACTTCTCTCTCTGTATCTCTTGCTGATTGTTTTTGCTTGTATTTTTTTCCCTCTTATTGTTGCGCTGTTTTATCACGTTACACCAACACAACTTAATCCTGTGCTAATACTTTCTTTACTTTCTTTTTATTTAAAGCGTATTTTGTAGTAAAGTGATATTTGAGAAGCATGGATACCAAGATAAAGTGCTGGGAAGATAGGCAAGCTGAAAGCAATGGTGTAGAGTAGGACTTCACTGCTACTGAAATAAACTAAAATGTAAGTTTATAAACAGTGTGAAAGTTGACACTGCTGTAACTCAACTCCCAAACAGTAAAAAGAAATCTTCTGAAGAATACAGGTATATTGCTGGTAGATCCTGCAAGCCCTTAGTTATGTAAGCAGTTCTTTGAAACTGAGTGGGACGTCGTCCATACAGTCATGTCCACAAGTAGCACTTCGTTTCTGATCCTGTCCATTCATCTCCACATGACTGATTTTCATGTGATGACTTAAATAGACTTCAGCATATTCATGATTTCTATGTGAAGAAGCAGTTGTCTATGTCTGTGTATCTTGCTAATAAACTAGTTCAGTATTCTTTTTAACGGCTTTGTGATGTAGTGTTGAGCACCATTTTCAAAGTGAGCATTGCTATAAGTTCTTTCTCAAGCAAAAGGATATGTATTAAATGTCCAGTTTGGTGTCAATATTAACGTTTTGATTTTAACATTTAATGGAATGAATGCAGGGTATTATCTTACCTTTAATTTTGGTTTAATGTCATTACCAGTATTGTCCTTTGCTCACACGCTATAAATTCAAGACCACAACCTCTTGATTATCTAGGCTATCAAATGTGAGACTGATCCAAATTTTTGGCATGTCTCTCTATCCAAACTATATCTTTTAACCATTTCCTGATTAACCTATTTGAACCTATTTCATGATTACGCTAAGTAAAGTTTTATTGGTTTTGACAAGTTCCATGGGGAGATAATGGGTATAATTTATGGTGTGCTGTAATGCTGTCACATCAAGAAGATTAATTTTGGAGAAGTGCAATGGGGAGACCTAATGGACCATTATAAGAGCCAGTGGGTTTGGTTTTGTTTTCCTTAAATAGGCATTTGATGTCATTTGAGATGCCTCGGGGCCTCCTGGCCTCTCACGCCACTTCAGAGGCCTGTGAGTCTCCACTATGTCCCATGTCACGTATCAGACACAGTAGTGGGGCACCTCAGATGGTATTAGCTACCTCTGTAGATAGAGTCAAACCTGGTACATTTGTCTGGTTCTTTATCCTTTGTTGGCTATAAATAAAGTGCTGCAGATCACTCACCACAGTAACTTTAGTGATGTGACTAGAAAGTAGGACTATTTGTCTGAATATAGATAGGTGCTAGCTTAGAGTTAGCTAAATCACAAAACCTGCATATTCCAGTTATTTGTCCAAAACTTAACAATAGACAGTTTAAAGTATAGCAAGTGAGGTTAAAAAGAAAATTCTGGTACTCAAAATACTCTAAAACTTGAATTGTTACTTCAGAATAGGTACAGGATGATGAATGCAGTTGGGGAGAAATAATCTGTGTTGACCATGAGGAAAAAGCAGAGTTAATTATACAAGAGTTAAGTGATTGGTTTAGTGACAGTCTGCTGGGAGATGATAGTCGAAGAGATAATTTGGAACGGGAAGAATATTTACATTTAAACAAAATTGTGTGAAAACTTTTAAACCTGCTGAAATATTTTTAAATAAACATTTGAACAAAGTTCAAACTTCTGATGAAGCTTACCACTGGAATGTGTGTGTCAGATATACTTAAGAATTCTGTTTAAAACCAAAGCTTTACTATAACATCTACTGTGCAGTAAATGTTTGCGATTTGCAGGACTCAGTGGCACTTAGTTGTCCTTTGAAAGAAAAAAACCCTACATAAAGATAAGTATAAATGAAGACTGTTTATTTTTAGAAGTGACAAATGCAAAAGGATAAAATAGTTTTAATTATCTGAAAAGAAAATACTTTAAATCTTTGAGAAAGGAAAAGTGAGCGTGGACAAATAATATTTATGTGTAATAGGATAATAGACATGACAGTAATGTGTGTCATAGTAGCTGAGACACATGTTGGTCTAGGTATATTCATGCAACAAAATTATCAGTTAAATCGGAAAGACACATATTTTTTGCCAAAGCCTACTCTGAAGAAAATTTAATCTTCCGTAAATGGAGCTATTTAGTAGTGAAATATCTCAGACTTCTGTTTTACAGGTGTGACCAACTCTTTCACATTTTTTTGATCTAATCTAGCATATCCCAAGTGATGTGTTAACTGGCATTTTTCTGGGTCACCCCATACGCATCAGCATGGACTCACATCTAAAGTTCATTATGTTAAAGGCCTTGTTTTCACATATTTTGAACCTTACGTTCAGAATTCTTGAATATTTTGTAACATATAAATAAAATAGCTGGTGCACTGCAGGGACGCCCTCCACACACTGGAATGTAAACCAAAAAGGCTTTAAATGTTTCTTGAAGGCAGAAGTTGCTACATATTTAACACCTACAATAGGAAGTGTGTTTTGGAGGGTTCATTGCATACTTCTAAGTGTGCAGAAAGAGACACAGTTTCTGAGGAGCTTGAGTTTCTTCAGTCTGAATGCTCAGGTCCGTGCCCTCACAGCCTCAATAGCAATTCTCTGGCAGAAGCTTATTTATCTGCTTTAGGCTCTTTCTCTCCTCTCATCTAAAGGCCTCACATTGCTGGCAGATTTTACAGTCTTCCTGTCGCTCCTGTTTCAAGGCCATACATCCCAAGCTCAGCTTCCAGAAGTTGCCATATTTGGAGTGAAAAATACTTGTGAAGGCAACGTTGTGGTACAATTCCTGAATGTCTGTGAAAGAGCAGCAACAGTGTACTAGCTGGTACAGTTGTCATAATACAAGTATCTTTGTTTACACAATTTATTCATTATATAGTGAAACATCTTTAAAAAGTAATAGCACTGGGTTTTTCAGAACCAAAACTGCTTGCTTTCATTGGTGCTTCTTGTGAAGGAGGTACTTTGTCCTGCCTACATGTAGCCATCTGTTTATGTGTGCATTGTACGGATATATGGAAACCATCATGTGGGTTTGCAAATTCATCAAGGAATGATTAATTTTAATTGTTGAAGGGACAGGATTTGGAGCTGCAAGACTGAATCATGTTTCCCTCTCACGCCCACCAAGCTTTGCAGCAGTTTGACCTTGGATGTGCATTTCAGGTTTTGAAAAACTTTGTGCAGTATGAAGCTCAGAATACCGAAGCTGTCTCTATTCAGCATTTATATTTCTAAGATTAATAAGTCATTAATTCTGTAGTGTTTGGGGAATTATCTTTTGCCTAATTTAGTTATTAAGATGCCTAAAGTAACTTATATTGGACTTCATGAAAAGTATCACTAATACAAAATCATCCAGCAGGATGATCAGTATTGCAGTTGCTGATGTCCACTTCATATTACATGTATCTCTTCTTAAAATACTTTGGGATTCAGGAGTTTCCGATGAATAGGAGCTTTTTCTCGGTGGTTAACAGTGAGGCTAACACCTAGCGTATTCCTTTTGATATCTCATTATGAGCAGGAGATACTTTCCAAGCCTCTGGATAGCTTTCTTGTGCAAAAGTCACAGTGTCACCTTGAATGTATTTGCTGATTGTATCTATTCTGTCCTGCTTCTTGCATAGCAGTTCTTCATCAGTGGATGTTACTCCCACTAATGGGAAACTTTCTGTCATGGAAGGTGTGATTGCCTTCAGCAGAACATACACAATAGGCCCATATATTAGATTATCCATCACTTCATTTTTTGTGATGCAGGTATTTTCTTGGTATTTTCAACCTTTTTGTAATATTGTTATTATTTAAACAGGCTAATAATGTTTTGAGAGGATTGAAGTAATAGGAATTTTGTTTGCAGGGAATGTTCTCTGTCATCAAAACTGGAAACTCTTGACAGGTTGATGGGTTCCTAGAAAGTGTTCTAATAGGCATCTCAGTGTTTTTAAGCAGCAGTATTAGGGGAGGAAATTGCTGATAATCAAGAGCAGAAAAATATACTTTGCTGTCGTCAGATTTCTTAGCAATTCTTTTCATAGCAGGTGCTGAAGCTTAATGTAAATAGAGTTTGTTCCAGAAAAATTAAGATTTTTATTCATTGGCATCTGAGGAAATTGATCTGTGTATTTTTAGGTGCTGGCCTACAGTCATAGTAAAAGCAAAATGGTGCTTTTGAGAATGAATTTACACAGGAAAAAACTCATTGGTGGCAATATTGGGTGTATATACAAGTGCTTTTCTGTACTGAACTTGCAGTCAGTTCAGTCAGTTCAAATGCAGTTTTAATGCATTGCTTTACAGAATCTACACGTTCACCAGAATTTTTCTAATATGTGAAGTATTTTACTAGCTTGAAATCAATTTTTGTGGACTCAAGATAGAAGCCTGGCATGAGTTTTGGCCTATAAATAGTGGAAAGTAAGTACATGAAGACAAAAAGTCAAAATTTTATCTGGAAAGATATATTCCATACTATTGGTTCTTTCTTAATTACAGTGAGTACCAAGTGTCCAGACAAAAACTAGGCCCATTTTTGGTTAAACATGCAAATAACACAAGAATCATTCTGGAAGAGATAGAATGATTCCTCTTGAAAGGTTAAATACTCTGAAAAATTAATGTGTTTTACACTGTAGCCCTGCTGATTCTGTGTCGAGTGCTAAAGAATTTGAGAGCAGTAGGAACAAGAAAATGCCATTATGGTCCGTGAGGGTTAGTGTTAATAGGTTTGTTTCCTGCAGAAGATACAGTATTATGTTGCTTTTTGTGTGACCCAACAGCGTTCCCATCATATTTTTTCTTGGCACTGCTAACATTTATTGCTCCCTAGCTAAATAACATGACAAGACAGAGTTGCATTTACTGTAAATTTTCTTGTGATTTTTTTTTCTTCCCTTTTTTTGGACAGGTTTTGCGACTTTCTGGACAATAGAGAGAAATTGAAAGGTTACTTTATCTGAGGCACTCCTGTTACACATTCTGGCATGACATATGCCTTTTTTAAAAATACCATTATACTATTTGTTACTTATAGACTACAGTGGCTTTCAGATCCCTTCCAGCAGAACTCAGCTTGTCTCTATTTTGTATTTTTGCTTGATTTCTAGATTTGCACTTGCTCTGCTTACAGTTTAGTTTTCAACAAGTTCTTCAGTATATTAGGTTTTA